CCCAATAATGAGCAGGAAGGGCCCGGGCCGCCAGCCCTCCACCGCTCAGTAGGACCAGTCTGCCAGCTCCGACAAGCCTGCCAGAGGCCGGAAAAGATGGGCGCTGCCTAGTCCAGTGTGGAGATCATGGACCTGACTGAGGTTTGGGGGGAGGCCTGCAAAGTCCATGATCTCCGCACTAGACAGAGGAACGTGGCCATCTACAGCCGCATGGCTGCCACCCTGGCCACCAAAGGCCACATCAGAACCCAGGAGCAGGTTCGGATGAAAACCAAGGAGCTGCAGCAGGCGTATGCCAGGGCCACAGGGGACAGCTCCCAAACAGGGGCAGAGCCAGACACCTGCCCTTATTTTGATGCCCTGGACTGCATCCTGGGGGGTGGGACGGTCCGTGCCCCCCAAGTGGTCATCAACCCTGGGGCAGAGGGCCCTGACCAGGGCACAGAGGAAGAGGAGGAGGATGGCCAGGAGCCGCAGGACCCCAGAGGGAGCATGCTGCACAGCCAGGGCCCCCGAGCCATCCCAGCGAGCCTGTCGCCAGTGTCGTCCAAGGCCGGGGAGGCAACAACATGTGAGTGCCATCACTGTCCCCTTATGCACGGGCGGGAGGGGAGGGAGACCAGGGACAGCTCGCGTGGGCCTTGCTGGCCACTGCTCACGCAGCAATCTGTGCTGTGCCACCCCTGGGCACATGGCCCCAGCTAGCTGCTACACAGGGGCCGTGGCCTGATACCCACACGCGTGTATGTATGAAGGCACATGACGTGCTCCTGATCCCGGGGTGGGACACGGCAGGACGCCCTCCCTCCACAAGCCTCCTCTACACAGAGGCAGGGGACATCTCTCCCCCCCCACAGACCCACACCACATACAGCATAGGGGCATGGGTGCACTCCCAGGCCAGCTCCCACTCCCAAGGATAGCAGGACATCTCGAACATGGCCTCTGGGCTAGCACATCAGCTCTGATAGTACAGAGACTTGTCATCCTCGTCTTGCAGAGGGGGCCTGGGCTTCACCCATTGTGTTCCCAGGGATAACTCTTGTTTCTCCACAGCCACACCAGCTGCGAGTGCAGGGCGCACCACGCCGCCCAGGACATCCTGCCTCATCCGGGCACTCAGCAGGCTGACCTGTAACCAGGAGGGATACCAGCAGCAGCACCTGGGGTTACTGCGAGGCCTGCACCACACCCTGGACTACTGGGTGCACGAAGACCTGCAGCTCCAGCAGGAAAGCAGGCGAGAGCTGCTTGCCCAGGGCTGTGTCACCTGCGACCACCTACAAACCCTGGTGCAGAGACTGCTGCCTCCTGCCGCTCCAGCCCCTGCTGCTCCCCAGCTACTGCTCCTCCTCCCATATCTGCTTCCCCTCCCACTTCTTCCTCGCCCCACTCTGCCCCATGGGGACACCAAGGCCCCTGCACCCGCAGTGCTGGGAGACAGGTGGGCCAGCAAGACCCCCAACCCTGAGCTTCTCCTCCCCCTTCCAGCTCCCTCCTCCCAGGTTTACCCCTCCCCTGTCCACCCTCTCGCCTCCCCTCTCCCGCCTTCATTCCCTTCCCTCTTACATCCCAATTTTGTTCAATAAAGAGAGTTTGTTTTCTTCAACATGTGTCTTTATTGTACATCGGGAAGGGATGTTAGGGAGAAGTAAGTAGAAGGATGTGAGGGTGGAATGAGGCACAACCCCCCAGTGGGGCACACCAGGGAGACTTTAGTCCTCCTCGGGGTGGAAGCTCTCCCACAGGGCCTCCCGGATATGGACAGCCCCCTGATGTGCCTCTCGGCTGGCAGCCATGCAGGGCTGCATGTATAAGATGGCCAAGTGCTCGGCCTCTGCCATCCAGATTGGCAGGAAAGCCTCCCCCTTCATCTTGCACAAATTGTGCAGCACACAGCACGCTGCTACCACATGTGGAATATTCCGTTCTGAGAGGTCCAGGCGGGTGAGGAGCCATCTAAAACGGGCCTTCAGCCAGCCAAAGGCACCCTCCACCACAATGTGGACCCTGCCGAATCTGGCATTAAATGCCTGTCAGAGAGGGTTGAGGTGTCCCATGAAGGGCTTCATGAGCCAGGGTTGTTGGGGATAGGCCGCATTCCCCACCAGGCACATAGGCATGTTCACAAACCCGACCCGGTAGGGGAAGAAAGTTCCGGCATGCAGCCTCTGGCAAATGGAGGAGTTGCGGTACACATGTGCGTCATGTGCTTTGCTGGACCAGCCCATACTGATGTCCACAAAGTAGCCTCGGTGGTCAGACACAGCCTGCAGGATGATGGAAAAATATCCCTTGCAGCTGATATAGAGGGAGGCCTAATGGTTCGGGGCACAGATGGGGATGTGTGTCCCGTCGATAGCTTCCCCGCAGTTGGGGAAGCCAAGGGCACCAAACCCCTCAATGACTGAGTCGACATCGACAAGGCAGATGACTCTGCAGAGCAGCACTCTATTGATGGCCTTGACCACCTGCAGAGGGATACATAACCAAGAGTCACTGGGGTGCCAGGGTGGCTGAGAGTGCTCCTTCCCCGCCACTGCCCCATGCCCCCACTCCTCAGGAGCAACCCCCCCTGCAATCGTGGCCACCGCGAGCAGTCCTTAGTGCAGGCAGGACAGAACAAACCCTCCCATGGAGGGGTCTTGCATCACCTCCCCCCTTTTCCCTAGGGCAGCCCATCCCCTGCTTGCACACACACCCCCTCCTGGCACAGTGACCAGAGACTACCATACCTGCATGAGCACTGCTCCGACGGTGGATCTCCCTACGCCGAACTGGTTCCCCATGGATCGGTAGCTATCCGGCATGGAGAGCTTCCAGAGGGCGATGGTCACATGCTTCTGGAGGGAAATGGCAGGCCTCATGTGCGTGTCCCGTCACTGCAGAGCAGGGGCGAGTCACTTGCAGAGCTCCATGAAGATGTCCTTCTTCATCCTAAAGTTCTCGGTCTATTGTTGGTCTCCCCAGCACTCCAGGACGATGTGGTCCCACCAGTCGCTGCTGGTGTCCTGACGCCAGATGCAGTGGGGCATGCTGGTGTCCAGGAGTTACAGCTGCTCCTCCACATACCCCAGGAGGGTCTGGATGACAGCTTGGGGGTTGGGCTGCAGCAGATGCTGTGAGGCTGCCTCCAGAAAGTGCTGCCAGGCTCGCAGCAACACATCCAAAAGAAGCACCAGGGTGCCCAGGGGCAGCTCCGGCTCCATGTTGCAGAGTGCTGTGGTGTCCCAAGTGTGACGGCGCGTTGGGGGTCCCCCGTCTCCTGCACCCCGAAATGGCACAAACAGACTGCACCAGCCGGTGGAATAGAGGAAGTTTATTGCCTCAGCCTCTGGCAGCAGCCACACAAAGAAACTCCTGACCTGATGCCCTGCCAGAACCGGTTTCAGCTGCCCTTAAATTCTATTCAGCGTCCAGTGTGGACGTGCTATTTCTAAATAGCAAAACGCTATTTCGAAATGCATTTTGTGTGTAGACGCGTTATTTCGAAATAAGATATTTCAAAACAACTATTTCAAAATTAGATATTTTGAAATAATGCTGTAGTGTAGACATACCCTGACATAATAACTTGAGCCTCCTTGGAGAATTGGCAGCCTCGTCATTTATCATAGTTTTGGCTGGGACAAATTATGAGTTCCAGTCTGACCCTATTTAATAGGGAACCAACCCTCTAACCACTTTTCCCTCAACTCCCACCACCAAAACATGCACCAGATATGAATACAACAACTTCTTCCTTGCTCCTCATATGTGGCATAGCAGAGCAGTTGGGCAAGGCCACCAGAAGCAGCATACTGAATCTTGAACCTTGCATCCAACAAAAGGAGATGATGACCCAAATTACTGTGATTTGCTGGAAACAGCATTTCAAAAGCTCAGTTTTATTAACAAATTTATATTCCCCTTTATACCACTGTATCTTACAAGATAAGATATAATGTTCCTAAAATCTAAAACAAATAAGATGAAGTCAAAGGGAGACATGAGTTGACTTTCTATACAGGTCTAGACTTGGCATTTGTAAAATCAAGCCAACTCTAACGTCCTTTTTTTGGGATGAAGAGGTCTCTTGGGACTTGGTTCTAATCTGACATATGTGCACATCTACAGAAATGGATTTTTCAAACTGCTTAGTGTATGTCTACACTACATTGCTCTTCCGGAAAAAGCTATGCAAACTGTGAACTGCATTTTGCGTAGCTTTTTCCACTTCTTTTTTCAGAAAAGGCTTTTCCAACATTTGGCCCATCTACACTGGGCCAAATGTTGGGAAAAAAAACTTTTTTGGAACATCCCTTCTTCCTCATAAAACAAGGTTTACAGGGATGCCGAAAAAGTGCATCTTCTCTTCTGAAAAAAAATTCCCATCCCAGAAAAACTCTGTAGTGTAGACATAGCCCTAGAAACGGAATACAACATTAGTATGTATTAATATCCCTGCTATCACTTTACCAGCTGAAGTGAACGAGTTAATACCCTTATACACACGATAGTATGAGGGAAAACATGTGACTGGAGAATGCAGTAGGTCAGTGTTTCTTAAATTGTGTTCCAAGGCACACCAGTGTGCCGCGAGGCAGTCGGAGGTGTGCTGCGGAGAACAACATGGCTGCCCTTAAAGGCGCAGGAGACTTTTTTTTTTTTTTTGCTCAATAACTTTCCCCCAATGTTTTTTTTTCCCCTCAACAAAAAAATCCTCGGTGCTCCTCATTAAAAAAAAATATTGTTTGGTGTTCCTCGGTCTTAAAATGTTTAAGAAACACTGCAGTAGTTAGACCCAAACAAGGAATGCAGAGACTAAGGAGATGTTATAATTATCACAAACTCCCACTGCTTCACCTCCATTCTCTGCTGCTCTCTGGCACCATCAAATTGGTTCCTTTTTGATATGAGATCTTTGAAGAAACAAGTAGCATTAATGTATCACTCGTCAGTAGAAGATTAGAAATGAGTGAGAAAGGGAGGCAATGTTTTATCACCTGCAAGGCAATATGAAATTAAACAAATTACAATATGCTGGCATCCTAACAACGTAAGTGTTCATATATTAATAGACAAACTGGAATCCAAAAGTTTATTTTATCATTTTTAAAAAACATGCCTTTGGCATAGTCTCATGGTCCATTTATATTACAAAATTAAACAGAATTTAACACACTAGTGCCAACAGCAGTCTGCAACAACCATCCCACAGACACTATAAAAATATAGGCACAAGAGTAATATCTCAGCCTATTACCTAAGCAATTCTAAATAAAACATCCATCACAGCTAATCTGCCTCAGGCAAAAGCCTAAGCCAACAGATGGATTTCCTCAGAAACCCTCCTACATCTTGGCAGAAGTTGGTGATAATATTTGCAGTAATTTTCATTCAATACATAACATAATGAAGCTCACATGTATGTAGCAACTTTCACCCAAAAGCAGTTTACTAACAAACTATCTTCAGGGATTACTTCATCCATCATTGAAATGCAACCACTATGGGGGGAAAAGGTAGCAGTTGTAAAAGAAAGACCACCAACAATACACAACAGTTGAGGACAGGAAGTACAATACTTAAACTAAAACATGGAGAGCACAGGGGTTAATAGCTGTGCACTTGTAAAAAGGACCTTTAATTAAGACAAGGAGTAGTGCTTCATTTTATATCTATCCATAAGATACCACCTTCTACAGTAGTGTGTTATATTACACCATACTAGAGGAAAGAGAGTCACAAATACTTAACTATTAATACCAGGTCCTAGAGTAAAGAGGTGTTCAGTGGATGTCTCTCATCCATATACTGACCCAACCTAATGCTTCTTTGTTTGTGATATTCAACAGAATCAAAGCACAAGATGGCATAGATGTAGGTATAAAGTGAGTGAGCTAGTTCATTATAAATATAGTGACTGAAATCAGAGCATTTAATAATAACTGATGTTTGGGTGTCAAACAATATTCACATGCATATGCTATCACATATATTCTTTTAATTCCCACAGACCTATCTCACAAGGAATGATTGTTCTGTCAATTTACTCACATTTTCCATCAATACTTTCTATTAGGCTGCGTCTAGATTGGCATGATTTTCCGGAAATGCTTTTAACGGACAAGTTTTCCATTAAAAGCATTTTCGGAACAGAGCGTCTAGATTGGCACGGATACTTTTCTGCAAAAGCACTTTTTGCGGAAAAGCGTCCGTGCCAATCTAGACGCACTTTTCCGCAAAAAAGCCCAATCGCCATTTTCGCGATCAGGGCTTTTTTGCGCAAAACAAATCTCAGCTGTCTACACTGGCCCTTTTGCGCAAAAGCTTTGCGCAAAAGGGACTTTTGTCTGAACGAGAGCAGAATAGTATTTCCGCAAGAAGCACTGATTTCTTACAGTAGGAAGTCAGGGTATGTCTACACTACCACCCTAGTTCGAACTAGGGTGGTAATGTAGTCAACCGGAGTTGCAAATGAAGCCCGGGATTTGAATTTCCCAGGCTTCATTTGCACCTTGCTGGGCGCCGCCATTTTTAAATGTCCGCTAGTTCGGACTCCGTGCCGCGCGGCTACACGCGGCACAAACTAGGTAATTCGGACTAGGCTTCCTATTCCGAACTACCGTTACTTCTCATTTCACAAGGAGTGACGGTAGTTCGGATTAGGAAGCCTAGTCCGAACTACCTAGTTCGTGCCGCGTGTAGCCGCGTGGCACGGAGTCCGAACTAGCGAACATTTAAAAATGGCGTCGCCCGGCAAGGTGCAAATGAAGCCCGGGAAATTCAAATCCCAGGCTTCATTTGCAACTTCGGTTGACTACATTACCGCCCTAGTTCGAACTAGGGTGGTAGTGTAGACATACCCACAGTGCTTTTGTGGAAATTCAAGTGGCCAGTGTAGACAGCTGGCAAGTTTTTCCGGAAAAGCGGCTGATTATTTGGAAAAACTGGCCAGTCTAGACACAGCTTTAGTGTCCTGCACTGTAATTAGTATATAATAATTGTGACATAAGGAATTAAAAGAATTATATAAGACCTTGCCCCAAAGCAGTGATTTTACCATCTTTTTATCTGTAAACAAATACTTGAGATACTTGAGGTGTTGTGGGAAAGGGGAATTATTTTTGTTTTGGAAGACAGGACCAGCATGGTGCTACTTTTCAATTTACACAGCTCCGTAATTCCCTGACCAGAGTGTTAGAGGTTATATTCATTTATGACAATCCCAGTCATCATGATCAAACAGAGCCTGCTCTGTTTTATGAGACAGAAAAAAGAAACACGTTCTCACAAAATGTTTCAATTTAGATAAATCAGCATTTTCTGATAGAAAAATATTGTTGGGAAATTTCCAATCAACTATACCCCCTAACCATGTGTAGCTATTCTGCCCTCCTTCACACCATGGTGCCATTAGGGTTGTCAGGTGTCGGGTATTCACCTGGACAGTCCGGTATTTTCGGCTCCTGTCTGGTAAAAAATTCAGAGAATACCAGACACCTAAAATGTCCAGTATTTTCTGAATTTTTTCCCGGACAGGAGGTGAAAATGCCAGGCACCTGGCAACCCTATAAACACTCAGTGCTTGGCTCCCAACACCCCCAGATCCCAGCTCCCATGCTTACCTGGTTCCCCGAGGCTGCCGGCACAAAATGGCTGCCGGCCAAAAGACCTAGGGGAAGCAATGCTTTCCCCTGGGTCTTAGTGCTCAACCTCTCCCCTGTTCTTATCCCTGCACTCACTCTTAAAGGAGACATGCTGTTTTAATGCTGTTTTATTTTAATTTTTTGGGGGGGGGGCTTAATAAGTCCTTGGAATCCTTTTTTTTTCAACAACTTTGGTCTCCCCCCCTTTTTTTCCCTTCAACAGAATTTTTTCCTGTTTTGGGGGCGGGGGGAGTGGGAGTTTGGTATTTTTGTTTCAACCATCTGGCAACCCTAGGTGCCACATTCTTCCGTCTATGCCAGAGGGACTGTGTCCCCCTCCCTCTTCCTTCTCTAGGGCAAGGACTCTGTGGATGTGTCTAGACTACAAAGTTTTTTCAAAAAAATTGCCTTTTTTCGAAAAAACTTCAACTGCATCTAAACTGCCACCGCGTTCTTTTCAAAGTAAGCCGAAAGAACACGGCTGTTTTGTCGACAGCGGCAAACCTAGTTTTCTGAAAAAACAGACCTCCAGGGAAAAGCCCTGGTAGACAATCCATCTGCCGGAAAAACCTCTATTGTTCCTGTCTCTAGCTATGTCTTAAAGGCACAGGCACCTTGGGCAGCCATTGTGGCAGGAAGGCAGCCCTCAAAGAGGAAGGCAAGCAGGAGAAGACCCTGAGAAATGGCTATACAGGGAGTCCTTTTAAGCATGGGTCTCAGATAGCCTCAGGCAGCAGCTTCAGGAAGTAACTGCTGACCTGATGCCCTGCCTGAACTAATTCCGGATGACCTTAAATGCAAGTTAGTGTCCAATCAGTGTGGATGCTCTATTTTGAAATAGCCAAGCGCTATTTTGATGTGCTTTTTGTGTATACACGCACTATTTCAAAATAAGCAATTTCGGAAAAATAAATTCCAAAATACCTTATTATGAAATAAGCAGGCAGTGAAGACGTACCCCTATTGAGGTCCTTCTGCCGTCACATTTAATGCTGGGATAAGGGTTCAGAGGTGTAATAAATTGCCCAATTGCAGAACGGTCTGAATCTAAATAATTCTACAAAATGAGCACTTATGGAAAATAATATGGCTTTCACTTGATAATTTTTTTTACACATTTTCCCCACACTTAGCAAAGCATATACCTCATTGAGGATGACACACAGTCTATGCTAAATCTGAAGTTTCTAATCACAACTGCTTTACTTCGGTGCAGAAAATCATTGAAAGCATTTCATAACCGATTAAAATAATAAGCCTACATTCTATCAATTCACTAGCAACATTATGCCCATGTACATATAAGACATAATTTCAGTGCAAACAAAAGAAAGATCCGAGTATGTGGAGGAAATGATACAGGAAGCGCCACAGCTATCAGAAAAAAATCAAGCGTTTCAAAGAGTTGGAGCTGCATCAGACACAATTTTGTGGCACTTTCTGGTTTGAAAGTTTTAGAAACCTTGATCAAGAGATGATGGGGAAGGTTCAGAAGAGAGCGAAGCCCTGGGGCTTAATTTTTTACATTTAATGTAAACTTTCAAGTCATGCACTGTACAACAGCAATGACAACAACAACAACAAAATCTTTGCACTTGTATAATTCATTCTCTCTCAGAATCTCCAAGTGCTTTACAGATATCAATATTGAAGCAAATTACTAAATAAACATAAAAAATAACCCCATACTCCTCAGTCCTGCACTTAGACCATTGTTCCATTCCCTATTTAGGACACAGGATCAGGAGGCTATAACTAGAAAGAGATAATAATAAAAAAGCACACATTAGACTGCATACCAGGAAAAATGTGCCAGTGAGATCTCAGGAAATGGACTCATCTTCTAAGAGAAGTGCGGGACATCTCACACTTAAAACATTTAAGACAAGATCAGACAAAGCATTAAAAACTACATTATGCTGTATTGGTATCAATCCTGCATGGACCCCAGGGGATTGAAACGATGATGTAATAGGTCTTTCTATCTCTAATTTCTATAATATACTAGTTTAAAGCTAATTCCTATACCTTTACTATTAATAATAACCTTTAATTTACCTATGACAAAGTCTGTCAAAGTAAAGCATTCTGAAATCCGATTGAAATTTAAAAATAAAGCTTAAAAAGGTATTCTTTTGACCAATTATGTATCTTCAAAATACAATTCTCCAATGGCCAATTGGAGGGGAAAAAAGCCTATAAGACTATATAAACTGAAAAAATTTGTTTGTAAGGCTAATGTACTAACAGCTGATTCTATGAAAAGTCATGTTTTGGTTTATTCCTTAACCCTACAATGGGGAGATTTTAGTTCTAGTGGAAACAGAAAAAAGTATTCCACTGGGAGTAAAAGTAAAATGAAATACGCTTTCCCCTTCTGATCTGACACTCCTTTTATCTACTTTAGCTATGGTTCCCATCTACTTTATATGGTTCCCATAAAAATACTAACAGAATATCTCAGAATCTTTAATCTATTTACCCTTATACCACTTCTGTGAAGTAGGGAAACTCTATCATACACCTCTTTATATATGGGAAACTGAAGCACAGAAAAAAAATAAGTGACTTATCCAAGGAATTCTGTGGCAGAATAAAAAATTGAACCTAAGTCTCATGCCTGCACCCTAACCATGACCAGATTAGACCATCCTCTCATCTCTAAGACTTTGCTAATGTGCAAAAAATGGAATTAGACCACTGAATCTTTCCATGAAGAACAGGCCATTGGGTATTGGGTTTCCAAGTCTTTATCTGAATAAGTGGTCAAGTATTATGTGTTACGGTAAAACTGTATGCCGTAGGAATGTAAATATCAAAATAAGTAATCAGTTAAATTATTAAAATTCTATCATTTAAGTGGTTAACCACTGGTGGGTACAGGGCAGCTAAGGTGCGAGGGATCTTATGGGCATAATGGGGCTGCATCCAGGACTGCTGTGACACAGATGGGATCACCACAGAATGGCGAGGGGCCGAGGGCACTGTGGCACAGCCAGGGTCTCACTAGGGCCATTGGGACACGGCTGGATCCTGCTGGGGCCACTGTGGCATGGGTGGATCCTAATGGGGCCACCGCAGCATGGTCACAGCTACTGGGCATACCCAGGGGTCTGCTTGCCCCACTGCAGCTCCTGCAACATGGCTGGGGGCTTGGTCCCACCAGGGCTGCTGTGGTATGGCCAGATCCTTCCTGCCCCCTCCAGGGCTTTCACAGAGGGCAAGGAACACAGCAGCCCAGCCAGGCTTGGTTCCTCCTGACTTGACTAGTTCCTGCATTCACCCCATGAGGCTGGCAGTATGCTTTACTGGTTACCCAGTATGCATTCGAGTAAACTAAATGCTTACCAGATAAGCAGTTAATCTTTTACAACCCTAGTATGCACTAAAAGCATGGCCGACTTGTCCATTAGGCACAGTAGGCACAGTGCCTAGGGCCCAAGATACTTTTAGGGGCCCACGAAAATGTTTTAATTTATTTTAAATCAGAAGAAAAAAAATGAACTTTTAGGGTCAAAGAAAATGTTTTAATTTTTTTCTCGCATCAGAAAAAAAATGAAACTTTTAGGCTCACAAAAATCTATTAAATTTTGCCTAAAACAGAAAAAATATAAAATGTTGAAGTATTTAAAGTTATATCAAAAATAATTTTTAATATTGAGATTATTATGGTGGGAGGGGACCACTAAGGCAAAAGTGCCTAGGGCCCACGAAAGTCATAATGCGGCCCTGATTAAAAGATACGTAAACTCTACATTCCAGTAACTTTCTCATACATCTTTTTAACATTCAGATTGTCCCTACATTTACAAACTCTGCTATCATGCCCTTCCTTGAGTCTTGTCTCTGCTTATTTGATTCATGTATAGTGGGATGAAAACTAACTGGTATTTGCTTAATTACTAAGTTTCAACAGTGACTGCTGTCCCTCACATTGCATAGCCTAATGTGATAATGGGATAATAGTGGTCACCTTTTGTGTGGAATTAAATAGCTGAATTATCAGAACCAGCTTAATATTCAACTCTGGCTCCTGATATCTGAGCAAGTGGAGCTCTTAGTTCTGATCATAAAAGGGAGAAATAGTATCTTGAAAGAAAAAAACAGTTATCTTACCAAAGGCAATGCTTTAATTTATCTTTTTAAAAAGCTCACATATAAGGGCAGATTAATCACAAATCAGAAGTACAGTACCACACGCCAAAATCTCTCTCCTTGCAGAGTAGCTGGGGTCAGGAGAACGGCAATTATAATGTACCAACACAATAGCAACTCCTTCAGACTGAATTAATTCAGGAATAATACACTTGGAAGCAAAAAGCATTCCTATCCCTACCTTCAGGCTTATAATTAAAGGAAACATAGGAGAGGAGAAACTCAGTACTCATTACTTCTTATGCTTGAAAACAAGAGATCCTGTAGAGCATAAAAACACCTCTCTATGTTGAACACACTCTGTCAGCCTCCAAACATGACACTGCATTGTGCTGTCAGTAAACCAACCAAAGAAGACAGAGTAATATAAACAAGGAGGCAATACATATAAAGGATAGAAAATTGTGAGGTCAGGATACCTGGATTCACCCATTCCCTGGGGAATCATATACAAATGACTGAACCTCTTACATGCCTAAATTTCAAATCTGTACATCAGGAGTAGGCCAATGCATATCTAATTGACAAAAATGTTGAGAGAAGTGACTCCTTGAGATCCTCAAATTAAAAGGCCTATCTATATGAGATAGAAACAAGCTAAATATGATGAAATGGGAATCAGTCTTGGTAAATGATCTCCCAACCAAAAAATGGCATGACTTCTTCATTCTACTTTGAATGACAAATACTCTAGTACAGTGTTTCTCAAACTGAGCTCCATGGAGCCCCAGGGCTCCGTGAGACATCTCCAGGGGCTCTCCGAGGTTGACAAACTGGAAAGCCTTCAAAAGCATAATTGTGAATCGCTTCCAACTGACGCAATTAACACACACTGCTGGGGCTCCGCATAAATATTTACACATGTAAGGGGCTCTGGAGCCTCAAAAGTTTGAGAAATGCTGCTCTAGTGTTCATTGTTGCTTTATCCATAAAGAACCCAGAAACTGTTGCTGAAATAAAAGGAACTGGGTTGTGGGATTTTCTTTTCTTTGTATCATAACATAATTTCATTCTTTCAAATAAAATCCCATGAAAATTAAGATAAGCAGTTTTATAGTCTTCCTCGAAGATACTGGAAGCCAAATAAAAAGTTATATTGTTCAATGGAGAAGCTTTCCCTCCTGCAGTAAATTTCTAAATTGAATGAAGTTGACCCTGATAATTAATTGAAGTGGCCACAAACAGAATTTAACACTTTCACAAGTTCCCACCAAAATGTGACTTATTTAAAAAAAACTGAAAGAAAACTGAGCAAACTGAAAGAAAAAAAGATTTCAACAATACCATTTTCTAAGGTTGAATGGTGAATATCCTTTCAAAATGCTTGGAATTTTTTTTTTTACAGATTCATAACACTTCAGTGAAATGTGTCTAGCCCCAGATTATTTCCCTACTATTGTTTTTAAGTAGTAAAACAGGTTTGAACATACAGAACTTCTCATTGTTACACACTACGTCATTCATTTACCTCTCTTGGACAGAAACCTAGGCCAGTGCCTGAGGGAGGCAACATTGACATCAGGAATGTGAAATCTTGAACCAAACTGATTAAGAAGTCTGCAGAGGTTAAAAAGATAACCCCACCGGATCTCAGATTTCCTCAAAAGTTTTATATTGTTTCTGTCATTTGGGAGGGTCATTGTCAAACACTAAAGAAGACTATGAATCACAGTGATTTATGGATCACTATTTGGGGTTGGGGGAAAGCTTGACAACGCTGTGGATCCAAGAAACAGTCCTTATCTACATTTATTTTCCCCTCAAATTTCTCAATGTGCCAGAAGAGTCCAGCACCCCTTAGTAGCAATGGTGAGTAGGAGGTGCTCTAGTGTGATCAGTGGTCTAGTGGCTACTGGTGTTTTGCTGATCTGGCATCCAAGCTTGTGAGTAACAGGGATTAAAATCCTAGCACCTAGTCTATGAAATGCTACAAGTACACTGGGATGTGTGTCAGTGTTCCTAGGGTGGGTCTGTAATAATGATACTTTGGGCCCAGCAGAAGGCCAAGGGGCTACTGCGCTGACATCCTTTAAGTTGGGCACCACCTTTGACAGAGGTCTGAAGTGGGGTGTGTGGATCCCAAGTCAGTGCTCTTGGAGTGGGATTTGGCTCACATTGGTATAGTTGCAGCAGGGAGGCGATGGGTGCACTAGGGCTGCGGGGGTCACGTCAGTTCTTGAGACTGGAGATCCAGGTACATTTCTCAGGGCGGGGGATCCAGATCAGTGTCCCCAGGGTGAAGGGACCCATGCTGGTGCTTTTGAGGTCGGGGTGCCACTAGTGGTTGAACATACTCCTGGGGGTTTCCTCACGGGCCATGGTCTTTAACATTCACTCTGTCATTCCTGCAGAGCAGCCGTGGAACGCTGGGAACGGGATCTCGGGGAGAAATGTGGGTGCGAGGGGCTGCCAGAGCTTTCGGGGGGAAGCGCCAGTGCTCTGCGGATGAGGGGCGGGGCCCTCGATACGCTCGGAGTCAGGGGCTTTACTGTCCCGGGGAGGGAGGGCGGCTGGGGCGCGCTGCCCCGGAGAACTGGGCCCGCGCCAAGGAAGGCCAGGCCTATGCTCTAGTTTTTCGCTCCCTACTCTTTAGCGCGCCAGCCCGCGTTGCTAGGTAACCGATAGTCCCCCCCACACACACACACCCCATACACACACAGCTCAAGGCAGCTAGCCGCACAGCCCAGCTCAGCTGCTCCCCACGTTACATCCCCCCCACCCTCTCGGACGGATATAAATAGCTCGGTCTACTACGCCTGTGCGGTGTTCGTGGCGGACAGCGAGTTAAGAGGGCGGTTACCCACTGTAAGTCGTCACCCAGGTGCCCCCTCGCCCCCCTCTGCGAAGACTGGAGCTGAATAGCCCTCGCCAGCCACCGTACTCCGGCGTGGCTCGGAGCCGAGCGGCCGTGGCGTGCCCCGCCCAGCGGTGCTATTTTTACTCCTTTGTTTCAGATTCGAGCTGCTCAGTCACCCGCCAAGGGCGGCCGGGACGGGATGACGCCATCCGTTTCCAGGAACGATGACATAGCCACTGGAATGTTCATTGGGGTTTCGAGTCCTTAAAGGGGCATCGACCCGTTTTCTTCCCTCGCCCCTTGATGGAGGCTGGCGGCAGCGTGGTGTGGTGGTTAGAGCGTGGGCCGGGGGAGGCCGGGGTACGTAGCTTCTGATCTCAGTGCCACACGGCAGCTTGCTTGCCCTTGGTGCCTCAGTTTCCCCGTTGCAGTGAGACCCGTATGTACCGTGTCTGGACACACGCACACAAGCTGGTGTGTAATTTAGCCCCTCTGGCGTGGCTCCCTGCTCGAGCCATTACTGTAGTTCTGGCATGTGCCTCAGTCAATGCGTGGATCTTCACAATAGCCTGTAAGCTAGAGAACTGATATATCCCATTTTACAGATGCAAAGCTGAGGCACAAGCAAGCTAGTGACTTGACTAAGATTATACAGGAAATCTGTGGCAGAAATGTGAAATGAGCCTAGGCACCCCAACTCCTAGGCTAGTGCCTTAGCCATCCTACCTTTCCAAATGGTGCACCATTGTTTTCTTTCCAAACAACTTTGCCATTTCCCATTCTGACCCCCTTCATTCCCTAAACATCCTCTTCCTGTTTGCTTCTCTCATGTGTCCCTGTTTCTCCATCTCTTCCAATATCCCTCTGTCTCTCAGATCTCTTTAAAAGTTGCTCACTCACTATGTCTCTTGTGCCAGGTCTCTTCTCCCCCCCCTCTGCTTTCCTACATCTATGCCATCTCTCTGCTATTCCCAGATCCCCCTGTCCCCCAAGTGCCCTCCCAGGTCTCCATCTCCTGGCCTCAGTTTTCTCTTCTAAGTGCCATAAGTCTTCTATGATCAGTTATTTCTTCCCAAGCTCCCTCCATTACCTGTTATGCCCAAGATTCCCCAATATTCCTCAGTTCTCCCTCCTCACAATCGTCTCCTGTATCTTCCCCCAAAAACCTTCCTCCCCAAGATACCATCTGTACTTGATGTTACATCTTTAAGGTCTCTTCAACCATACTTCTCAGCTTCCTCATCTCTGACATCTCCTGTTTCCAAAGTCTCTCACAGAGAGAGATAAATAGATAAAACAGTAGGAAAAATAGAAACAGTGAATGATACCTAGTTAGAGAGAAAGGATAACCAGATGATTAGTAGAGAGCAACAGACCAATGATAGACACAGGTGATAGATTAGCTAGATGGACAAACAACACTTCTGTTGAAATACAGAATTCCCTTTATATGATTTTCTGTATATGTTTAATTAGTAGGGGTATCAGAAATGTATCACCAATTAGCATGACAGGATCAGAAGCTGAGGGATATAATGACTTAACTCATAGCAACTTCTTGAAAGCTGTTCTGGTGGTTTCAATACAAACTTGTTTATAAAAAAATCTAGAACATAATAAACAGATGAACAAGAATTTGAATAATCATGAGAAGGGAAAGACAGCAAAGAGTTGCTGGTTATGTGGTTTGTGAGATGTAAATGAGAATCAAGAGGGAGTTTTGAATTATAGCTGCCCTATAGCAGTTAGATGTTACATTTTAAGGCAGGGGAGGGGAACCTCAGGCCTAGGGGCCGGATGCGGCCCTCGGCTTGCTTGGATCCGGCTTCTGAGGCTCAGGGCCCCCTCCTGAATTGTGGGGCCTTTACTGGGGCTCCATCCCCCTGTTGCCCTACCACAGGGCTGGAGTACATAAAATCTACAAGTGTTGGGACCCCAGGTGCTGGTGTGGAAGGGAAATGTGGGTTCAGGTGCCACATCAGTGAGGATTTTTTGTATGTGGCTCCTAACTGATTTTTCTGTGGATCAGTGGCCCTGGCCCCTGCCCTTGTTTTAAGGTATGTCATGTATCCAGGTGCTATGACCATAGATACAGCAAAATAATTAAAATAGAAGAGTACAGGGTTAATACAGATGGACCATCTTCATCCCAAGTTCCATTCTGTGAATAAACAGATGATATCAGTGATGTATTTGTCTAGTTTTATTTGTAATCACTCAATTTGGAAGGCTAAGCTAATGCTGAATACACTGAATTTTTAGACTCTTCTCCCCTCTTTCACCTGTGTGTAGTGGACAAAAACAAGATGGGTTTAAATACTGTTTTATTCATTCATCCATTTATAACCATTTATTTATTTATTTGGAGAAACACCAGAAACCTGAGTCAGAAATCACAACTCTATATTGCTATGTGCTATACACGTAGAGCCCAATCCTAAAAGCTCTCAACCTAGATAACATCTCTTTATGGATATTTGTGTGTGACCATCTGTGAAAGGACTAATTTAAAAGTATAAATAAATCATTAACAAAATAGACTGCTTTTATTTTGTGAATTAATGTATTTCATAAATATTCTTTAATTGGAAAAAACAAATACCAAAAAGTAAATAACCCAAGGAAATAATAAATTGGTACTAATGTGTCAAAGGCTGTAATAAATTGAACTCAGAATACTGCTGGTTTCCATCTTCAGGTATTGTCCATAGTAGGCTATCTTTAATTGGGGGCTATGCTGTGAAATAAAGCCCCTCAGTCTGATAAGGTCAAGATGATGCTGTGGCTTCATATTTAGATCATGTCTAGTAGAAAAATCTGGACTGTAATTAGTCACCTACAACATGACTTCATATTTCCATTTAATTTAGTAACAACAGTTGGTTCCTGAGGGGGCAAATGAGATTTACTTTATTAACAGAGTTTCTAGAGTAAGTGAGCAGACAGATTTGACAGGGATGAGATGAGAAGTTGGGAGACCAAGGGAAAATATTCTGAAAGAGGTAGTGTGTCAAGGATTTTAATACAGAGAAATGTAAGTTGAGTCTCAATTTTCTCAACTAGTGCTGTATACATTAATCTACAGATATATTTAATATATGTATTTACAATTAATCTAATACATAATTTTGTCAATTGCTTTTACTAGTTGCTTAAAGTATTTTACTAGTGCTGTCATTTTAGTTATCAGTTGTCTAGTTTTTTTTAGCTCACTAGTTTTATTTTAATTTTTTTTTAAACCACAGTGGCGTCCATAGAAACAATGAATAGCACTTATGTTCTAGGAAGAAAACATTTATTATTTGAAAGAGTGCATTCATTTATACTCAGATGATAATTTTGTTCAATATCTGATTGTTGAGGTCTGATAAATTTGTTTGAATGTATAAAAACCTGGTTGGACAAATATAAAAGAATAAGTAACTGCTTATAGTATGCTATAGAAGAAATTCCAAAGTTTAGCGTTGAGATGTCCAGCATTTCACAAATTTACAATCCTTCTTCTTCCTTTTTTTTTTTTTTTTTTTTTTTTTAAATACATGACCAAGTTCTGTTCTGTCACCTGTTAATGGGGTTGTAAGTCAGGACAGAAGTTGGTGCGGTAATTGTTAATTTTCCAAGGACTGCCTAGCTCCTAACAGTTGTTGCCCTCCCACATAAAGAGATAAAATAGTTTAACAGATACAAATGATAATTAAAAGATAAATACCCAAAAAAGTAAAATTCATAAAATATTAAAGATCAATTTTGAATTTAATATAGTTAAAATGCCAGTTCATGTAAGTTATTGCAGATTAGTAATAACTTGTAAATTGCTTATATTTAACAGATATCTAAGGTGCCCTAATTTATTTCAATTTTCTTTTCTCTGATAAAGATTAGGTGATCTTTTCTTCTTAACAGTAACTTTGTTCCAATGTCTGAGTTTGATTGTCTCTCATTCTCCTTTGTGTGTCATTATGATACTTCACATTATTTCAATTACATGAAAGGGTTTTTTCTTCCTTAAACCTCCTGTTTCATCCCTCCCATAGCAGCAGGAACAGACAGGATTCAGAAACTGGCACGAAGGTGAGGCTCTGATACAAGAAGCTTGCTGTTCTCTGTGACTCATTTGACATTAACATAATTATGTTACAGAAGTCAAAGTGGTTTTCAAACTATGAGTAATGCACAATACTAGAGAGAGTGTTTACAAGACAACAAGGCATATCAATTAGCTGAAGTAACCAGCTGCTGATACTGTTGAAGTCAGTTAGGGAATTAAACAACCTTCAGTCAAATTATCCTTCTTTAGAATTCAGAGTCATGTGCAGAAATGAGATAGGTAGTGTATTTTGAAGAAAGATCCAGAACTAACACCACACTATAATTGGGATCAAATTGAGACGGTGAGTATTTCACGCAAGTCTTCCCTACATTTCTTCCTGCTTGCATCTTTATGGAAAAGTCATGTTCATATGACAGCAGTGTTTTGTTTTGTTTTTTCCCCCAAGAAGTGACTATACACAGAGTTCATTACAGAATGCAAGTGACAAGCATCGTGGGAGCTAAGACAAGGGAGGATCAAAAACTGGGAAAAAATGAGGTCCCCCAACAAATATTTGAGTCTATCATGAATGTGACTTGACTCTAAGTGAAGAAAACAGATAACAATAAGATATATTTGGTTTTGCTCTGGTTATACATTTTTAAATATATACAAGCTTAGTTCTAATACAGAAAAGAAGGTTTGCTTATTGTAAAATATTTAACTGAAAGGTTTATGATGAGGAACATACGAATAAATACGAAAGTGGTGTCTGCTAAATAGATTAAATGTAAGTAAAAATAAAAAATAGTGGTTCCTACTTCAACTCTTGATCTGTTTAAAAAGCTATAGGCACTTCATGGAAATATTCTAAAAATTATTGAAAAACAATTTTGACAATAGATTTTTTTCTGGTTTTTTTTCTAAATAACTTAGTTTGCTCTGTAATATACATTTGAGTGCCAGTGGGATGCTTGCTGTTTAGAAATTTACTTACGTTGCATTACTATTCCTCACGCAGGGCCTGATTCTCTGAGGCACTGATCATCCCTTGAGCTCCTTGAACTTCCTCTGATTTTAACAAGAGTTGAGGGCTCTCGGTGCCTCCTGGCCTTGTCTACGCTACAGATAAGATTGAAGCAGCTGCAATCTACCTTCCGGGGTTCAAATTAGTGGGTCTAGTGAAGACACACTAATTTGAACTGAGAGGGTGCTCCCATCAATACCGGTAGTCCTGCTTCTAGGAAGAGTAAGGGAAGTTGAAGGGAGAGTGTGCTCCCTTTAACTTCTGATAGTGTGGATGGCACCAAAATTTGAGTTAAGATACTTTGACTTAAGCTATGCAATGAACATAGCAGAAGTTGCGAATCTTAATTCAAACTTATCCCCTCGTGTAGACTAGGCCTTCTGGGTTTGGCATATTGAAGCTAGAATCCTGGGTCTGTGATATTAAACACTTTTCTACAGGAGAATTGCAATGTGGCAAAGGACTGTAATTTACAGTAATCAGCAAACAGCTTTTTTTGTAAGTGTCCATAGTAATAAAAAGAGGGAAAGGAGGGAGCAATACAGAAAATATGTATAGACTAGAAGTTTTCCATAAAGCATCACAGGGTCTCTAAACAATTTTTAAGAAATTGGAAGTTCCAAACTTCGCTTAAGCCCTTCACTTCCCTATGAACAAGTTGCTCAGGACCCAAGAGAAACTTAATATGTCCTGGCCTATTGGAATGATAGAGAAGCACCAGAAATGGTAAAGAAGCATATGGGAGGGAAAAGTTGCAGAAAAAAATATTGGAATGGTGTAATCTGCTGCTGATAATATTAACATATTTTAGGGGACTAAGAGTCAGCAATCATGAGGTTTGCTGATTCCTGCTCTGCCATTGAT